CGGCGCCGGCATCACCGCCGCTATACGCTCCGACCTGCGCCGGCAAGCTGCGCAGAACAATTCCAAGGGCTAAAGCACAACGCCGAGGTAACACTTGATATAATTGACTGCTTCAATAATTGACACATATATTGTGTAAAAAGAGACAGTCATTATATGTGTTGGAGCAGTACCGGTGTTTGCGTAGGGCGATGTTGGGCGATCTCCCAAGACGCCTGCTATAAAGACACCACAGACTATATCAAAAACGCGTGCGTGCCCCCTTTATGTGTCAGTTTGTTTTGAAGTTAAGGGGCGCCAATCATTTCTGTTGTAGTATTCAGAAATTCGTTTTTTTATTACAGAAGGAGTCCGCTTAGAATACAGCATTTTTAGGATGCGATGTTATGATCTCTGCAAACGACGCACGAAAATTTAAAACCTAGTAATACATTTTACGTAGAGAAATATAGTAGACAAGTTGAAAGTGATGTTTTTAATTCCTGTTTAAGGAATGTAGATTATACAAGACAATACATATTCAAACACTTAGGGTAGGTACTGTTTAATAGAGATGTCTCCATTATTTTGAATCGATTTATAACATATAATGCCTATTCCACATAAATCAACCTTTTAATATATGATACTAGTGTGTTTGTTAAATAACATTCCAAGGTAGATGTTTTTTTAATGTCGTTTTTCTAGTAAATTTTACCAATTTTAAAAATCGATTCAAATTAAACGGACCTATTTTGTGCATCAAATAGTGTTTTACTCTTGTAATAATATATTTAAACACGTATTGTTAGAAAACGTTGAAAAATTAAGACAAAAGTTTAGAAAAATGTATCCTTTTATGGATTTTTTTGTGCATTTTAAATAGGAATTTAGTTTTTTTTCTATAACGTTTACAAACAGAGCGCAAAGTGTTTAAAATATCATTTTTTTTTATTTCATTGCTAACGTTTTACGCACAATTTTTTTCTATTATTTTGTTTTTAAATATCTTTGACAGCAATACACCAAAGCAATGTAAATGAAAGTGTTTAACACAATGACAAGAGACAAAGTAATTTTAGATTTCAACTATTTAATGTAATAATTAAATATTTATGTTTTAAACTCGCAGCGACAGACGTAATATAATATATTAGATTTAGAGAATAGTTTAAGGAGCTATATAATGAACGTGACAATAAATGAATGACTCGAAAAATACATTTAAAAATATTTTACCAACTTTGTAGCCTCAAGTGTTTTGGTATCTGTGTAGTAGTACTAGGTGAATGCAGAAATGATGCCCGGTTTACGCTTGGACAGTACAGTGGGTCAGTAGCGCTCTATAACTAGATTGGCAATCAACTTGCATAGTAAACACTAAATGGCGCTAGTAAGTCCATACAATTTATCACTGGCTGTCGCAACCGTCCAACTGTACCGGCCAAGTGTGAACCGGACATGATCTTGTACAATTGTGTAGCCATATAAAAAATATATAAAATATTAATGTTCTTGCCTTGATGCTATTTATGGCAAATAAAATTGCATAACAATTCTTTTTAGGTATTAGGTTGTGGTTGTTAATTTTTTTTTGTTATTTTTTTACACTTTAAAATATTTTCCTTATTCTAAGAAAAGATAATTGAGGCTTCGGCCATGTTTAAATTAACTTTATATGTAAATTACACCTATATCGATAGATAGAAAAATCTGATTATACAAATTTGGACAATTCATTAAATTTTATGTATGTCTATCTCACCTTTAGTTACAATTTGTTATTTTCTAAAAATATTAAAGTTTTCCATTTTCCTAATCGCACTTTTTTAATGCCTATGCATAAATTTATGTTTCGCCTAGCGCCTATAATTGGATCAACTATAATAATAAAGCAAAATATAAACAGTTGTCAATCTTTTAAATTAATATTTTAATAGCTTGCAATATGTATTTTAAGGTGTATTTATTTACGGCCTACCTAAGGATATAGTAATCCTGTGACCTGTTTTTCCGCAACATCCCAAGGATTTTTATATTTCTAGTCAGGCTATATCTTACATCATGTGATGAAATTCAGTATTATACACTGTTTAGCAATATATTCTTTTAAGTCAGTAATCAGTTAGTTAACTTACAAAGGTGATGTAAAATAGGAAATACATAATAAAGTTTAAAATGTGAAATCAATTGTCAACTTATAAATTGATGTATGGTAGTAAGTAAACAATTTACGAAATAAATGTTTGTTAAACTCGAATGTTGTACGTTTTGTACCAAACTGTTTTCCCAATACATATTACTATTTGAAAACTATCCAAAATTTTCATGAACCGAAATGCCACTTTCTTCACAGTTGATAATAAACAAAATAGATTAGCAGATTCTAGAGCAATCCTTCGCATTTCAATACGATGGCAACAGCTGAAGTTCTAGTACTTTGTGAAGAACCTTGGTAAAACAACATCAGGTTGTATGGTCCAGATGTCCTTTTTTATGCTTTTATTCACACAAGCTGGTAGGTTGCCAGTGATACGTTGATATTTAATCTGTAATTACCAAAGAAAGCGTTTTTGTTATCTGTTCAATTTCTAACGTCAAGCGTCATTGTCAAAGTCATAAACATTGTTTTGTTTGTGGTTGCCATGGCGGCATTTTCGTAATATTTCTTTCGATTTTTTAAATTGAATTCAAGTTATGGGTTCTGTATTATTGGTTTGTAATACTACGTTTAAATTATGAGTCGTGTAATAAAAAAACGTTTACGGAGAAAGTACTACGTATAAGTAAAAAAATATTTATGATATTAACAAAAAACTTGTTTTTCTTTATACAATGTAATTTTATTGACTGTTATTTGGACATAAAATTAATGATGACTGAAGATCAAAAACAAATTATACGTGAAACGTGTAAATCCCACTCTACAAAGGTCTCCGACCGAGGTACGACTTTTTTTATTAAATATATTATATAAATCAGGGAATATTCTCCGGTTAAGAAGTTTCTTCAGTTTAATCCTTGTTTAAATAATGTAATTATAAATAGCATCTAAGAAAGTCTTTGCTTATTAGTAGAATTCCCCCGTGCATACCCAACAAAGCTCAGTAAGCGTGAATTGGAGGACCTATACTATGCTATACTGGATAATAACTTGGATCTCAAACAAACGATTAATACTCAAAATGAGAGGATCAAACAGTTGTCTACGAAGGTGCAAAGGTTGGCAGGACTGCAGAAGACAGGGCTCGGGAGAAGTGATAAAGACTGCTGCATAAGTGCCAGAGCATTAATAAAGGAACAGAAAGAAATGTAAATATATTTAAAAACATGTTGTTTTTATCATATTATAATGATTTAACCTTTTTTCATCTATTTAAATAAATTTTCATAGTTTTTAAACTGTAGAAACATAAATATTGTAATATTATGTGTTAATGAATTATTTTCTAGCATATTGGACCAGAAAAGGGCAATTGACAGACTATCAGAGAAAAACCGCATACTAAACATGAGACTGTGCTCTGCTAAACAGTTTTTGGGCAAAAACTCCACAAAATGTAACAAATGTTGCCTTGCCGCTGCCATGTCACTCAAGTATACATTTATTTATATTGAAATAACATTTTGTTATAAAACAAAATCCAAATTGTATGGAAACTTGTTAAATTCTTACAGTAAAATATATCCAATTCTATTTCTAAATTCAAATTTTATTTGAAGAATTTCTGGCAACTTAAACCTTGAATAAATAGATGTCCTAATATTTTATTTATATTTTCAGAAATTCATCAACTAGTGCTCTGAATGTAAGCACTAAAAGGAGTGCAATAAACATACAAACATCGGTTTCTTCTAGTGATTTGATTCACAAGTATGTACAGTCAACTGCATAAATATACAATTACCTTTAGAAACTTGTATACAAATTCAGTTTATAAAAATATGTATATACTGTTGTATATTTTTTAATCAGGAATTAGTGACATTGATAAGTACTTTTATACTTATTTTAGAAGATATTACAAGTTTTTAAATCTTTGTAAATGTATATATTTATGCAGCTGACTGTACTGATCACACAATTTATTACATCTCAAAATTTATTGTGCAAAAAATGGTATTACCTATCTTATAATAAACAATGTACTTAATAATTTTATTCCACGTTTTTTATTATTCCATTTTTAACATTGTACATAAGTAAACTTTATTATTTCTATGAAGCTATAGTTCAGTTGTTTTGTAAGGTCTGGTTATTAACTTTTTATTGTTTTTTTCTTCAGAGAGCCAGTTTCGACAAAGACTAAAGAAGTGCAGACCGACAATGACAAGTAAATATTTTTTTATATGTAGTTAATTTGACATTTTCTCTACTGATAATGCAAAAAAATAAATAATCTTAGTGGCTTTGCAAAATACTGATTTAATTGGCCAATAGTTTAATCGTAGTTGATCAATATGAATGTATGGGCAAAAATTAGTTTTCACTGGTTTTTATTGTATGACTTGAGAGCTCGACATCATCACGTTATCGGCCGAAAAAGTCTGTAATCTGCAAAAGATTGTGAATATAGGAAAACATCCATATTTTTTGGCAAACCTAATAAACTCTTAATTACACTAAATATTTATTATTATAAGTACTTCTCAGGATGACAGGAGAAGTGTGCAATGAAAATAAATGCAAAACTCTCATGGAAGAGTTGAAACAGAAGATTGCTTCACTGGAAGAGGCAAGTATTCTCAATTAACGATTATATTATAGTAGAGTTTTGTTGCCAAGAAGGGGAGGAAATAAGGGGGGAAGTTGCATTGCTACTTGTGGAAATGTCTAGATTTCTAATAAAAATAAGTCGCGCTGGTGAAAAATCTTACTTCTTACTAATATTATAATTGCGAAAGTTTAGATGGATGGATTGATGTTTGTTAGAGTTTGTAGCCTAAGCGGCTGAACCGATCTTGATGAACTGT